AGTACTCATAACCCACACTACACAGTCAGTTCCCTTATTTATTTTTTTCCCTTTTTGTTGTGAGTTTCTTTTCTATAGGGGCAAAATTACCATGTAGGGGGATCCAGGAGCCTGAAATGTTCATGAAGGTTTTACTGCTCAAATTGTTGGAACATCAAATGTAGTCTGTAAGTTACAGTAAGGGCTTATGTTGCCAGTTGCCTAGAAGTAGACCGGCTCGGTTAGCACGAGGTCCATGTTCGAGCCCTGACTGAGGTTGAGTCTTTTGACTGCAATTTTTGTAATATTTCGATGTAGCAAAATTTTCCAGTTATCCTTGAAAATGTAGAGTTGAAAGATTTTCTCGTATAGAAATAATTACCGGGATTTTCATGGAATCCCTTTCATTTTTGAAAAGTGCTTTCCTTAATTCTATTGAGAGCTGTTACTCCATAATACAAAATTGGTAGCAGAAATTTCTACTCTGATGTAGCCACGACATATATAGGGGACCATTTGCCTGGCAAGTGGCGCTGTTTAAAAGACGGTTGTTCGAGGTCGAACTTTGGACCGTCCCCCCATCCCTGGGCGAGATCCGCGTAGCACAAAACGTGCACTCACTAGAGCTGAAGAAAGACGGAAAAATCCGCTGTGAGGTGCGGGCGTTCGGCAGTGGCGAATGCGACCTAGTTTTAGGGCCCCTTATACATGTAAAGGTTATAAAAGGCATGTAACTCTGGTTACCTGCAAACTGCACTACCGTATGACCGTGAAAAATTATTAGTTAGTCGGAGGGTACTCATCAAAACCAATTTCAGGATTTCTTTTATGCAGGTCCAGGAACCTTCCAGTGCTTTCTTGATAATGTTCTTTATCTCCTGACCAATGTGATTTAGTTAATTAGATTTGTTGCCATTGTATGCCTAGGTTTTATGCTTTTTAAGGACTCTCATGAACCAACCGCGCCCCATGCACCTCCTCTAATTGGAGACACGTTCAGCTTTTGGAAAAGATGACACCTTAAAGGCACAGTTCGCGACCGCAAATTGCGGGAAACGGAACTCAAATAGGCACAAAAAAGTGCTAAGTATCTGATTAGCGGAGAAAAGCAGCAGAAAAAGCAGTCCGAAATGTTATAGAGAAAGATAACATAGTGGCTACTAGCTAGTAGCTAGCAGCCGGTGAGGGTCGGCATGGGCCTAAGGGGTGTCCATGGGCCTAATTAGTCAGCTTCTAGCGGAGTTCTTGCCGTTTTTCACATTTTGAAAGTAGCGCAGCCTCAAAAATCGCCTTCCGGATCGTCCGACACATTTGAGAGGTCATAGCCTTATTTTATCGCGGAATGTGCCTTTAAAATAAAGTATAAAGTCTTCTCTGCTGATCAGTTCATTTTTCATGCGGGAAGCAGCCCACTTTCATTCAGAGTCGTAAGAGCTTATTGAGATGTCGCCTATACAGAGGATTTCGGGGTCAAGTCGATGTACAATGTGATTTAAATGTTATTTAATTAGTTTTTACTTTTATAATGGCTTACAACATCGATGTATAAAACTGTGATATGATTTACATATATTGAAATTTTAGAATTGATCTTTGTTTCTTTGTTCTCTCTCTCTCTCTCTCTCTCTTTTTGATTTTGATTTTTATTGATTGTACAAGTCAGTGTTTTATCCTCGTCCGGTAGCAATTTACCGTTCCAGGAGGGCAGAAGGCCAGTATAGCATGAGTAGGAGCCGAATCGGGATTCGTTTCCCACATCGAGCGCGTGGTAAGCGTGGACGTCTATATATTTGACCGTACTTACTATTAGGCTAGCAGGAAAGTTCTATCACTATTCTATCATTATTCAAATTAGACTTTCTTTTTATAGAAAGGCGTGTAAGATCAAAATTGTACAGCAATGTTACTGCGGGGTTCTTGCCAGTTTTTGAGCACCTCATGGATGCCATCGCTTCACAATGCAGGGAGGCGCGACGCAAAGTTGGACACCATCTCAATCTTGACTTGAACTCGGGTTATGGAGGTTTTCTCGTCCACATAACGATTGAGTACGGGAGGCAACTCGCAGTTAGAAGGAGCAATGTCTGTGCTACACCAGTGCAAGGGGAGAGCCATCCAGCTCTATTGCATGAGGTACGGCTCGAACTTTTTTGGACGGAGTGCGCTGCACTATCATGATGAGGGCGGGCTGTGCGGACAAATTTTTCCCTCTGATCGACGGTACGCTTTAGATCTCGTAGCTGCTTTGCGTACGCATTGACCGAGGAAGCAGCTTCTTCATCCAGCACTTTCACGACCCGCAGCTCCCTCAATCTGAGTTCACAGGTAACCCAAACCTCACTTCGTCATCAAAACTGTAGGCTCCCGCTTTGAAGCATTAGCGTCGTGGAAGGTTGTCCGATAATTGAGGGCATCGTCCTTATTCAGCTCCATTATTTTGGCATCTGCAGCTATCATGCTGGCGTCAGGGTGGTGGAAGAAAGAGTTTGAGGAAGCGTCTGGAGGGGTCGGTGCCGATGGTAGCGGATAAAATCCTTGTCCATATTGCAGAAGAAGAAGAAGCAGGAGTCAAGCGAGTGGTACTAATAGAAAGACACTCCTTGATGTATAAGTGCTCACATTACCGGTTACCCCTCTCAAGTAATGGGCAAGTATTTTGAATCAAAAAAATGTGACAGAACTTGCCCGCCAATCTAAATATAAACGCATTCACCTGAAAAGGTGCTTGGTAAAACAATTTTGACAACTATACAAAATTAATTAGTAGACGTGCTTGTCATGATGGAGGTGTTTGCCTTGGTTCCGTGTTCGAATCTTGAATCATCATGGTCAAGTAGGAAATAATAAGCTTCTGCGCTTCCTGTTTTTTATTGAATTAATCACTACTTCACGTTCACTAGTAGCAAAAATAACTGGTCAGTGGAGATTCGGTCTAGTAACAGTACTAAGATGGCAAAGTCGCGTGTCGTGATTTTTAATCGGTCTTCAGCGGAGAGGAAGGCGTTCTATTTGGTCGCTGAAGTCAGGGAAAGAGGTCGTATTTGCCTTCGAGAAAAATGTTTTCAATTTGCAACTTTTCTTTTTTTCCTGTTTTAAATGCATTTCCCGCTGCCATGACTTTCAAGGCGCTTATAAGTGAACACGTTGTCTCTTTGGATTGATAGTGGTGCTTGTTTTCTGTCTTTATTGAAATTTTTATCGGACATTTTTACTACCATATTAAAGAGCACATTAAATACTATAATGATACTCCGCCACAGCCTTCTGGAGGAGCGCCATCGAGAGATTCGGCCGCGCGAAAGTGAGTGGGTACCGGAGTTGAGCGAGATCGTTGATTTCTCCGCCACTGTAGACCACCCTGTTGAGCTCCGCCCGAACCGAGTAATTGAGGGGGTTTAGTTCAGGACCCCCGCTTAAATACTCCATCTTTTCCAGGTACTCAACGTTCTTCCATTCCAAGTAGGCGAAAGTTTTTCCAACGCCCTTCGATTAAATGTGTTGTCACCCAATCCTGTAGCAGTACAAAGTTTCCAAGAAGGTACGGGCGACGACATGAAGATGGGATATTCTCCTCGAGTTGCTCGATGTAGCTTCAGCCCAGCGCCACTACCGGCGTCAGTTCTGGGTGCCGACGAAGAAAATTATGTGTCATACCATTCGCAGGTACGCCGGTCCCCACACCATCAACCCGCGCCTTGGTGAATGGGGTGAAGATGATGTCCTGGACCGTAGCGACGTTGCCGTAGCTGCTCGATGTGGGAGGTCTTGCAGATCAAGAGTACTGGTCTCCAGGTAGCTATCCATGGGTGATTCCATTCAAGAAGTTCCGCAGCTGTTTGGAGGCCCACGTGAATTCCAAAGGCGTTTCTCTCCACTCAGGCCGCGACTGGAGATGACTTCATATTTTGGTGTACATGAAGGTGAATGGCGGCAGCCGGCTCCTGCTTATAGAGGAAGATCTTGGGTATCTTCCGCCCTGGTACTCACTTCCTCTGTCTGGGCTGCGAAAACTTCGCTCATATGTGACTCGGCCGGAATGACTTTTTTTGCCCCCCCCCTGTATACATCGGAAAAAATGATCGGAAGTTGAGAAAACTAATTGAGATAGTAGATAAACTGAGGGATGGGGAGGATAGAGGAGAAAATTTTAAGGGGGGGGGTCGTATCCCGCAAAAATTCCGGCACTATTCAACTATTACTACCCCAGAACGTCAGAAGAAATTTTTTTGCTGAAACTTTGCCCACAGAGGTAATTCGGTGTCCTGATCACGAATATAGCACTCGTTTTCGGCGCTGGCGCCAAATTGGCGCCAATTGGCGCCAGTTTGGCGCCGCCACCTTTCTCACCAAATTCGATGTAAATTTGCATAGTAGGGTTACTTGATGTCCTGATCACGAATACCGCATTAGTTTTCAGCCCTGGCGCCATTGGCGCCATTAGGCGCTGATTTGGCTCCACACCCTTTTTCATCAAAATCGATGAAAAACCTGCATAGCGGGTTTCTTTGATGCCCAATCCCAAATATGGCATTCATTTTTCGACACAAACGCCGTTTAGCGCTCCTTCGAGGCTGAACCCGGGAGAAGGAGTGATACTTATCAGGCCAGGGTCAGCCTTAGCACAGCGCAGATGATCGTAGTGTCTTCCATCAGCGCCAGCGCCAAAAATGAATGTGATATTTGTAATCAAGATGTCAAATAACCTCCGTATACAAGTTTTCAGCGGATTTGGTGACCTAGGTATTTTGGCGCCGGCGCCTGTGGCGCGGGTGCCAGGCGGTTTCAGGTTTAGCGAATGTGATATTCGTGTTCAGGAGGTCAAACTACCCCTGGGCACAAGTTTTCAGCGGATTTGGTGATCTAGGGTACTTTGGCGCGGCGCCAGGCAATTTCAGGCCAAGCGGATGTGATATTCGTGTTCAGGAGGTCGAATTACCCCTAGAACCCAACTTTCAGCCAAATCTGCCCCCGTAGAAAAAAGTCGATCAAGATCCGGCCCGTTTTCGAAAAATTGGGGTAGTAATAGTTGAATAGTGCCAAAATTTCTCCATCAGCGGGACATGTCCTGAGTGAATTCTTGAAGGTTAAATTTTCACTGATTGCAGAAATGCGGAAATGTTTATTCCCGGGAAAAAGTAACCAACGGTGACAGGACTTTCGAGCTCACCTAGTAGAGTGCGTGGTGCATCCCAAAAGGATGTGTAACCTCGAATGCTTCGGTTCTTGTTCTCACAAAAGGTAGTGATGATATGTGAGGGCGAAATTTTGGAGTAGCATTTCCAGTTGGCGATGAATGTGAAGCGGCTATGAATCATACAGTAATACCTTAACTGTTCGTCACTGGCCTTGTTTCCCACCATAATAAAACTCAGCGCTTTGCTCATCATTTCAATAACACGAAGCTCTGCTCATTGTCAGTCTTCTCACTGGAAACAGCTGATTCTCCTTGTTTTCCTCTATTTACTTTAATGTAATTTAATAAAATGCCGAGTCAGCTGATCATCATATACGTTTCGTTTGACAAATGCTTTGTGTTGTGTCTACGCGAAAGGAAGCGCTCTTTCCTATTGCCCTTGGTGCACGGCTCGTACAATGGTCGGTCGACGACGATTCTCATTACAGGTTCATATGAGCACGGGTAAAATCAAAGTCGATGAACATTACCCTACAGGTGAGTAATTATTGTTTTTCTCGGTTCTTTTACTCGAGTACGATCCCTCTGGAAACTATTTTTATCACATTTCGCCCTTTAGTTCTCCACCTTTCTAAATTTGGGCCAGATTTTTAATCGTCTTCAAAATATATTTGGCGAGATTTTTGCTATCAGGGGTATACTACATAACCTGGTTATAAAGTGGGCGTATCTACGTATTTCGGTAGAGTGAGGGTGGCCGGCGGTTGCGCTTCTGGTGGGATATTGCCACTTTGATAAAGCCGTAATTGGTTTTGCCCAGTGCAAAACAACAAGACAGTTGCCTCAAATGGGAAAGTCCAAAGAAAAACGCATTCCAAGCCATACTCATACTGGGCGCTTGCAGCGCGGACGCTGGAAATTCTCGCGAAAAAACGTAATGTACAGGGGGGGGCCAAAAAAAAGTCATTTTGCCTCCATGACTTTCAAGGCGCTATAAGTTACACTTTATTAAATTTTTATCGGACATTTTTACTACCATATTAAAGAGCACATTAAATACTATAATGATACTCCGCCACAGCCTTCTGGAGGAGCGCCATCGAGAGATTCTGGCACGCGACCGCGATGTGGTACCTGAGATCAGCGGGTAGTCGATTTCTCCGCCACCGTAGACTCTTGAAGTCCGCCCGAACTAGGTAATTGAGTGGGTTCAGGTCAGGGGACATACTTCAATATTACATCTTCTTCAGGTACGAAACGCCCTTCCATTCGAAGTAGGCGGGAGTTTTTCCAAAACCCTTTGATTCCATGTGGTGGCACCCAAACCTGTAGCAGCACAAGGTCTCCAAGAAGGTACGGGCGACCACATGTAGGGAGGATATTCTTCTCGAGTTACTTGATGTAACCGCCAGCGCTCACCTTCAGTCGGGGTCTACAAAGAAAATATCGGTCTTCCCCTTTCCAGGTACCCCGGTCCATACCATCAACTCGCGCCTCGGCGAATACGGTGAAGATGATGTCCTAGACCGTAGCGACGTTGCCGTAGCTGCTCGATGTGGGAGGTCTTGCAGATCAAGAGTACTGACCTCCAGGTAGCTATCTGTGGATGACTTCATTCAAGAAGTTTCGCAGCTGTTTGGAGGCGACGTGAATTCCAAAGGTGTTCTCCAGTCAGGCCGCGACTGGAGATGACTTCATATTTTGGCGTACATGAAGGCGATTGGCGGCAGCGTGCTCCAGCTTATAGAGGAAGATCTTGGGTATCTTCCACTCTGGTACTCATATCCACTTCCCCTGTCTGGGCTGCGAAAACTTCGTTGATATGTGGCTCGGCCGAAATGACTTTTTTTTTTGGCCCCCCCCCCTGTATATAATATCGTGTTCGGGGACTCGAGAATAGTTCCTCTTGAGAGAGGGACAAATTTTAAAAAAAATAGGCCCAAGTTTCGAAAAATAGACTGAAAAAGTAGTGTCCTTTCCCACGTCGGTGCAACTCTGGTGCATTCTCCACCCAGTTCTTTCATGTAGTTTCTCGCTTCACTGCAGTACGAGTTCCTTTCGAGAGCGGGAGATGTCAATTTCATTTTTTGATTATTTTACTCTATTATAAGTACCTCATATGACAAGTAAGTTGCCGTAGCATCATAGGTTGCCATTCCAAGTATATATTTCATCGAATCAGCAACTATTTTTAGCTACATTACTGCGGAAGCGCTTGCTGTTAAATGCATGGCTGCACTGAAGATTGCTTGTTTCTGCGCCCTCGGTATCAGTGCCTGAAGGGGTTTCGAAATGAGCAAGGAAAATGAGTTCAGGAGTCTCCACAAACCTCTTGGCGCGTTTTTTCACGCGCAAAGAAACAGCTGATAACTGCGACGGGTGAAAAACCTGGGCAGGTGATAAGGACAGGGTACGGACTTTGACGGGAAGTTTTTTAGTGTCTGCAGCGGAACTTGGGAAAGCTCACATCATTCGATTTCTGAGTACAAATAAAAGAGAGCTCTTCTTTGGATTTAGCGGGATTGAATAGTGGATATGTCCTCAGTTGTCAGTTCAGTAGACGCCAGGTGTTATCAAGGTATGCCATGTCTGAAAGATTCATCAAAGAGAGGGACGGGGGAGTTGTTCTGAGAATGAAGGATAGTTTCGTGTTTGGTCCAGTAAAAAATTTTTGATGGCCGATTTTTCCAATTTTGTGTGAGCTATACCCTCGCCCAGCTGGCAGGGCGGCCATTTTCCTACTTTTGATTCTTGACTGATTTCCGGGCGTAGTTTAGCTCATCCGATCCGCGACAAAAGGACTTTAGAAGCAGGGTCATTCGTATTAGGACCAAACCCACTGCACGTCGTTTAGCTAGGAAATGTTCGGCTAGATTGCGCACGATGACCGTCTCGGATGAAATGAACAACCCCTCTGTTTCTCTCCTTCTCTGTCAGAGGGTGTTGGGGGGGGGGTGGTGTCATACTGAGAAGAATTTCCTTCAGTGCCGAGCGGGCCTTGCGCTCAGTAACCAGAGCTCACACCAAAGGCATAAAACAAGAAAAATTCTGCGGTCAGATAACTCGTAATCGTCTAATGCCGATTAAGCCAGTTCCCTCGATTACTCAAATTGGAAGCCGCCTAATTGCCCATGTTATTAGGTCTCTGGCACTTCCCTTTCAATGCATGTCTCACTCCACTGGCCCTTTGAAGGAAGTAGCGCATCCCGCGATATTCCTCCTTCTAAGCCTGGAGAAAGTAACAACCGTTACAGTAACAGTCTTTAACCGACTGGAACTTGTTTTAGGGCGTTGTTCAGTAAAGTTTGTGGACAAACTGCTGCGTTGAGCCGCACAGATAGAGCTAGATGAGAAGGGTAAAAACCTAGGATATAGAAGTCCGTTAAAAAATATTGATTCAGAACCTGAGAAGCTTCTCTCCTCTCGCATAAAAGTTCTGGATTAATTGCACAACGAGTAACGGAGTATTTTTTTCTGGTCAAGATCTCAGTCACTTATTTTTCTAGATCGACCCCTATTTATTAGTGCGGACTCAAGTTCAAAGATTTGAATTGAAATTCGGAACCCCAGCTGAATTTTCTGATGGCGCATAAGTAGAATTACCTTGGACTCGATAATTTTTTCACATTGAATTTGTTCTTGGAAAAAAAGCCGACAATTGCTGACTTTATTGAAGAATTTCAGGCTCACAGTTACTAGAATGAGTTCTTGAAAATGTTTTTTTTTTCAGAAATCTACGATCCGCGCTTGTATGACATAAAGAAGATCGAAAGCATCCGTTCAAATGTGAAATTCGAACAATGCTATGAAAGCAGTGAACTTATCGGAGAGTGAGTAAATCTTTCCAAAAATTCTCATGAAGAACAAAGCAGTGTACATTTATAATTATTATCATAGTAAAATTGGTAAGTAGACTATTTTAGTCACTATTCAATTTTAACAGACCCATGATAGGCCACGAAAGCGCGTGGTGTTATTCACGGGAGCTACGTCATAGGCAGATATTTTTATTTTCAACAGCCGCATATTATTCACCATTTTTCGACACTTTTTCAAATTACTGCATTTGTATTACTCAGTAAAAAGTGCTATATCAGAGGGCCAGGTTCATAACAACCATCAAAGCATTGACTACTACTTTGATTGTAATCTAATCATTACAAATGTACCGCACAGCAGATGATTCGGACCTAAAGACACATTCCGCGATTACCTGATGGGTAGACCCGCTTCTTTGTACAAGTAGTCCAGTCCATAATCAACCAAACGATAATTAGTCGCCTTATAGTACAACAACTTTTGCCCATAACTTTACTGTCATAGCCTTTTTACATTTTCAGTGGCAAATTCGGCAGAGTCTATGCTGTACGAGAGAAGTCTAGTGGGAACGAATTCGCTGCGAAATTCATCCGAATTAAACAGGTCTGCTTTTCTACAACAGCATAGAAGTTCCACATGTATTTGTACTAGCTAGTAATCGTATTAATTTTCCATTTAGCAAGCGGATCGACAAGAAGTTGAACGAGAGGTTTCCATTCTCACTCAACTTCGACATCCACGTATTGCACAGATTTATGACGCATTCTACACCCCAAATAATGAAGTTGTATTAATTATGGAAATGTGAGTAATCTTTATTTTTGGATTCATAATGTTCGTATAATAGTGTTAGCGATAATAGTGTATCTGTGAAATCTAACGCTGTTGATTAATTAGCGAACTAATTAGCGGGTAAGGTAGATCACTGCTTATGCTCCCCGCGCTAATTGCTATTTTTTCAAGAAAAGTGATGACAATGAGTTGATACTTTCCACATGAGGGACAGATGACTCAGTCGGAAACAATTAGTAACTTATGGGGCTCCAATTTGTGCACCTTTTCCGTCCAATATTAATAAAATTCCTATCCATACAAATTGTGAGAAATTGCAATAAAACAAATCAGAAGTTCTGTGATTACTGGAGTATTTCCACTACTTCTATTTTGAAAATACTGGTATACCCATTCCCACTTTTGCATTCTTACGTAGGGCTACTGCTTGAGCACCATCTGCACCATCTGTGTACTAATCCCGAGTAGTGGCCCTACGCCCCCTTCCCCAGGTAGCCGCGCCCCCTTTGCCACGTGGGGAGCACAGGCCAGGAATGGACGAAACACGAGAGAGGGGGTGGGAAGGGGGGGGGGAATTTGTGATGCGTTTGGCTGGTACCCTGCGCCGAAACGATTGTGTCACATTAGGATATAGACCACTTCAAAAAAGCCTAATGCATCAGATATATGTAATTTTTTTGTATTGAAACTTTGTTTACTCAATTAATGGGTACTACATACTTGGGAACAAGACGATTTTGATCATGACCGTAACATCCGCATTAGGCGCCAACCTTTCGGCCTGTGTTGTGCTACTCTGTGAGTTTAGGGTCTTCTGTGAGTTAATTGCGAATCCCGTGATCAAAAAAGTTTTTCTCTCCTGTTCGCGTCAGTGCGTTTTCCGACAATCTCTTGTGAATCCCGTCGTTCTAGGCTAAGGTTTTCAACATTCCAGAAGCCTGCAAGAAATGAGCCTCATTCTAGGGACTGCGTACGACCCGTTGCACCCTGCAACATCCCGTTTCAGAGAGCTCTTCATTGCCCGAAAGACCCCTTGTTGGACGACGAGTTTCTGGTCAAAAACTTTTCACAGTAGGTGGTCCCTGACAAGTAGTCAACTAACTGCCTTCTTATCATGGTGTGCAGTTCTTGGCAGAAGTCATAAGAGAGCGGATCAAAAGTTCAGTGTGTTATAAATGTCAGGTGACGTGATTTCTGACTGAGTTCCGTTGCCCTCGCAACATTTGCCACTGCTTTTTATTTGACGAATTCGTTGCTGATTCATCAGTGACTTCGCTAGCAAGCAGTCGTCATGTGGCTCTAAAAACTTTCCAAAGAGAAGTCGGCGCTAGTCACTAGGACGGGAGGGATAAGGGGAGGGGGAACAGTTTGTGAACTCCTGTGAATGTGCCAGCCCATTTTGTGAAGACTTGCAAACTCTTGCTGAACTGTGAGTTGCAACCACTTCAGAATTTCTGCTATGAACTGGTTCAATAATCCATTCAGGACACTCGAAACAACATCCTCTTCTTTGAAACTTAGTGGTGTATGAAAGTTCAAAACAAGTAGCTGCTACTTTACTGAAAAGATTGGTGGAATGTCCGCGATGAGGCTGAGCGTGATGGAGGAATTTTCAGAGTTCGAGGAGGAGAACTGTTCGATCGCGTGGCCGATGAGAGCTATGTCCTGACGGAGTTGGCAGTAGTAATGATCATATGTCAGCTTTGTGAAGCCATTGACTACATTCATGAAATGAATATTCTTCATTTAGATATCAAGGTAAGACGCTCTGAAAATAACAAAAAAATGAACGCTCTGGAACAGGGAACGGGCTGACGTCCTACCTCCTGGTTGCCTTTTACCAACGGGAAAAAGGACTTCCTGAGGCTATGTCCCCTGCAAACGAGAGGAGAGGCCGCGCAAGGGGGTGTGGACTAGAACGCAGCCGGAAGGGCCTTTTACACCAAGGTAGCGTCCAGAATTCGCGAAAGCCAGCGCTCTACGCGATTGACGCTGTCGAAACATGCGCATCGATCGCGTTGAAGCGCTGCCGTCGCGAAGTCTGAACGCTGCCAAATTGTTGCCATCCTGACCCGAAACAGTTGGTGGAAAACGTTGCCCTGGGTGCGCTCCGTTACATGCCTCCTCACACGTCCTCTCCTTTGCAAGGATGATTATTGGAAATATAACCACAAACATCACTTCTTTCAGCCTGAAAATATCATGTGTGTCTCACAGACGGGAAACCGGATCAAATTGATAGACTTCGGTCTAGCTCGGCACTATGATGGAACACAGGTATGTCAATATCCTACCATAAGCCCTCAAACCTCCAGCGCAGTAATTCTGGGGCGAATGTTTCTCCCCTTTTCGGACATAAATTGCCAATGTGGCCAGTAGCGGTGTAATGGGCACTCAAACCGTTTGTCACAAGCACTGTAAGAGTTCCAAACCTCTGATCGACCTCTGTCCATCCAGTCTCTCCTTTACTCTGAGTTCAGTTAACTAGTGCCAGGGTAAAACAATGGCTTGTACGGTCCCCGCCATGCAGTTCAACTTGGTGAGGTATTCTGCTGGCACAATTCCATCTCTTCAAGAACAACCCTATTATTGCATAGGGTGGCAGTGGCACTCAATAACGAACCTATGGTGGCTAAGTGGCTCTCGGGAGGGAAAAAACAAACTGAATCACTAACTAGGGAGGTCGTTCAGGACGTGGAGCGCTTTTTGAAAACGGTTTTTGCATGATGTGGGGTCACGTGCATGGAGTACCAAACTGGTGTTCATTTTTCCTGAACGCCTCTGGGAATGCCAAAAATGGAGTGAAAAAGAAGTCCATGGAAACCGACTGTTTTTGAGCCTGAATGGGCTCTAAATCACTCGCAACTTCGGCCAGTTGCTGCCTATAGGGTCCTTATAAAGGTTGTACTGGTATCGATGAGAAAAGTAGTCGCCAATGGGGTCTTACTTGTGGCACGTAGTTAAGAGTCGACGGCTAGATGGAATGGTCTCTACTCATTGACAGCGTCCACTACTGGTCAAGTGAAGGACGCCCCAACGATGCCTACCGTTGTACTCTCATGTTCTTACGTGAGAGTATACCAAAAAGCTAAAGATTGAAAGAAGTGGTCGGACCACTCGACTTCCCACCAGTGAGTATTGCGCGCCGTACATTTGAAGAGTTTATCCATAGAATGTCTCTCGCTTACAGCAGCTGAGTGTGCGCACGTGCGTGCGTGTGCGCGCGTCTCTATGCCTGCCTGTACTGTTCAAGAGGACATTATCAGAGCAGTGATCAGTAGTGCCCAGCGAATTTGAGAGGACCGAAGTGGACCACTTTGAGAGTTTTAATTTTTTGCGAATGATAAACAGTTCACCTTCCCCAGAGCTTCCTTTTCCCTTAGTTCCTCTCAACCCTCTCAGCACATCAGACAAATCATTCAGAGTGCAGTTTATTTAAACTTGATTTCACAGTTTCACTGGAACTTTAATGGGAAGTATTGTGCTGATGACGTCACTCGACATTCAGTAAGCTTATTTCCGGGTGGAAATTCACTGAAGTAATTCACTGTCCTCTTCATGCATACCCTTGGACAGGAGCTACACAAGTTGCTTTGCCCTGTCTCTGTGCTCTCCAAGGACGGAATCTTGATTTTCAAAATTCTGTACATTCCCGTACAGCTAGGCACCGGCATCATTTGCATGCTATTTCTCTGACTTGTTTCATGTTGGGCGGAATTTAGCGCTTGAATGCCTAAGGCTGGTGGAAAGCGTCCCAGTGTGGGTGACGTGATGTCTTGGATGCTCCGTTGACCGGACATCTCGTGGCTCTCTTGGGACGGAGAGAACAAAGAAAACACTGAGCGCAAGGACCCCCAGCAACATCACTGTACGAGTTGTGTGGTGCTGCTCATTTTAGGCTTGCACAGCGATATGCTGCGCCCCAGGCTCACTGATTGTCTCATTGCGCCATACAGTGCTGATACTAACAGTAAAAAAAAACGAAGAACGCGGTGTAAAAACTGAACTTCTGACAGAAAATCGCCTTTAATTCTGGTGGGCGGGGCATTTACATAGTATGTGTCACGACTGGTACTCATGAGGACCGCAAAACCCTCGTTACGTCCCTTGAAGCTGCTAAAAAGGAACTGTTTTGAGATTGAGGACCAGCCACTTAAATAAGGAAGGACGCTTACGAACCGCTTGAGTGCGGAGACCGTCTTCAAGCCGAAGAGCCCCGGTCCACACAAGTCGTTATAAAGGCCAAATAGTATTCAGCCTCTAGTGAATCAATGAATAATCGAACTGATAGGAATGCGTGGCGCAACCGAAAGACCGGCTGCCCAGCCCCGAAGCTCTATCCTTTTACACTACTTTTTTCTCCTTATGGGCCAAAATTTAGTGCACGGAATGAACTGCCGGGTTTTTGAACAGACCACGGAAGGAATAAGTTGTTTTCAGGAACTACGCTATATGGCGGGTACTCCGGAATTTGCCGCACCGGAGGTCATCAAGTACGAGCAATTAGACTATCATACGGATATGTGGAGCGTTGGAGTAATCACTTATATTTTGTAAGTTGAGGTTTCTATTATAAATGACTAAAATGTTCGGCGCATCATGTACAAAGCTGCAAGACTGGTCCCATGAGACAAAAGGTCCGATCTCTCGCAGAGCTCACTAGTTCTTGACAATTTTAGTGACAAATTTTGCGCTATTCCAAATCATCCAATTAGAAACACGCATGACGCCATCATGTCTTGCAAATAAAGTGGCAATTGAATGGGTCACAGTGAGATGACTCAGCCCCTTTCCTGGAGCTAATAAAAATTGTAACTCACAATTCCAAACAGATGAGTAACCTCGGCATCTGTAAAAAGAATCCCAGCGCTGACGGGGCAAAGGTTGTTTCACCCGGTTACGTGATTACTTGGACTTTTCTGCATGGTCCTATTGCGAAACCCTGTTTGCAGACAGAGTGGACAGCTGCTGCCAAAGCACTGAAATGTGCAAAAAAAAACGTGGGGCGAGGATGGGCTATTTCAAGGGATGAGGACTCCGGGGCGGGTGAGCTACTTACCTTGCACGAAAAAAGAGAGATCGCGGTGGTAATAGAGAGTCGCGCAGACGAGTGAATGCCGAGAAAAGCAGAAACTTGACAGGATTGAAGAGATGGAGTGCTACTGGCCCGCAAACCGTTTCACTCTTCTTTTCAAGGCGTTAAAAAAATAATTAGAATAGAAACAACACTGTAACGTTATGTTATACAGTTACATGTTACGGAAGAGACAAATAGTGTTTAAGCAGTGCTCAAACTATTTATACGCATTGAGGGTAAGGGTGCAAACAAAGCTGGAAAGATTTCATCCTGGGTCGTACTTTGTCGCCAGGAAAGGGGTTGTGTCCGGTACTGCTGAAAACTTTTCTCGCTGTTGACTCTTCGCGATTTTTCCTGTTTCGTCTCTCCCCCCCCCTGACTCTCCCACGAAATTTGGTGGTGGAGCGGGGGAGGGGGAGGGGGAAGGGCGTTGTAATGGCACCGCTATTTCACCCATCCTGTTCTGTTCCCTTCAGGACGATCAGTCTTTCGCAGGCCCACTTGTTCATTGAGCAGCAGATGTGTGAAGGAGAGAGGTCAAGTTTGGAGCTGCGGAGGCTTCACTCCGCGTCTGTAGCCCATCCATTGAGAGGAGAAGTATTTAAAAGCCTTTTTCGTAACATCCATCGTATAATAGGAACCAGAAGTGATCAAGACGCTCAATGGGCAAAGTGTCGTCCTCTTATTACTTACCCTATCCATAGGAGTTGGGAGGAGGAGGCCTACGTCCATGTTGTGGTAAGTACACACAGCAATCAGTATATTCCTAGCCCGTTGACTTGAATACACGCCCGCACGTTCGAGTTGGATCATTGTCAATAGAGGCCGCGCATGTCGAGCCGCACGAACCGCCGATCGCGTCGCCCCGCAACTTCGATGTGACCACCGTTAGCCACGGTAAACTTGACAGGCTTATGTCCAGATGAGTTCATTCTTCGTGAAGTTCACTTCAATGCCAGTTTTCTTTCAGATTATCCGGGTATTCTCCGTTTCTGGGAGAAAACTTATGTGAAACGTATTGTAATGTAGAAAAAGGCGTGTGGGACTTTACTGAGGAGTTCGATTTGGTCAGCAAAGAAGCAAAGGATTTCATCTCAAGGCTGATCGTCTACAAGAAGGAGTACGTTCTAAAGAATTTCAGTAGAACTTGTTTCTTTTACTATTTTAATGTAACACTGGTAACGGCTCTGCTTGTAGAAAACGAATGTTACCAAAGGAATGTTTGGCTCATCCATGGATTGCCAGACATCGAGCAAAAGCTCGTTGTGATGCGATACTTGAAAAACCAGCTGAAGGGCCAGTTATCGATAACAAGCAGATAATGCGGTATAATGCACAGCGAAAACTCAGGGTTAGTCTAAAGTTTCATAAGAATAGTAAACTGTTCTGTTGACTTCCAGGGAACCTGTACTTTGGAGGGCTACCAGGCATGTTTGAGTATGCGGAAAAGAAGGTCTCGAATGGGCTAGGGGAGAAGTGTGGCCCTTGTTCCTTCCGCGCCGTAGAGCAATATGTTCTGCACTAAGTGAAACGGTCACTTATCAGGTTAATGCATGAGGCGCCTAGGTAGCGAGTTGGTCTCAATATACGTTCCCCCCCCCCCCCCACACTCACCCACCCATATTTCGGAATATTTTGTTCTTGCACTGATTCAAAAACTTACGCACATGTCATTTCCCCTGCAAACGAGAGGGCGTGTGAAGGGGCCTGGGTTGGAGTGCAGCTAGGGCTCCGAAGTGCTCCTATGTTGCAAACTCACCATGGTGTCGTTGGTGGAAAAGACCGCCATAGTTGCGCCCCATGCCCCCTCCTATGACCGATCATTTGCAGGGAACAATGACTGTAACTGCAGAGGCGCGGTGGGAACAACCGCTACACAGCAAGGTGAGGGCGAGTGAAGTAGTCAAACCTCAAAGAGTTGTGGAGTCCCGGTTAAAAGTGAGTCGGAGCACCTTCATCGAGTTTTTGAGGTGTAAAATGTACAGTCGTCATCCGGATCAAGGGGTCCGGGTTGAGTACGCGGTCAAAGGGTCGCAGACGCGGCTGCGGCGCGTCACGACCGCGGCGATCAGCTGTTTCCAGCCTATTTAGCCATTTTCTCCCTGAATTTTCACTGTTGAGATTTCTCTAATTTTTTTTGCGAACAATTGAACATCTAGATAAACAATTGAACAAATACCTGAAAAAGTCGCAAAAACTTCATTACAGAAACAAAAAAATAATCCACTTCCTCATATATTTCATAAAGACAAAAAACAACTCACCTTGAAAAAATAATACAGTGAAAATTCGGGAGAAAATG